ATTTAAAAAAACATATATTATGTTCTCAAACCAAACAAATACATGTAAAGTGTATTGTCAAATGTCAAAACATTCATTACTCACTATAGAGATCAAAATGAGTCACTTTCCTGCCAACAAATGAGAACACAGGGCAGTCAACATATTGAGTAATATATACCTTGTGTGCAGTTCAGGCTAACGCTCTGCTCATCATCAGCATCAGTGACTCATGTTGTCCAGAGGCTGATCGATGATAAATAATGACTAGTTCTTCAAGTGTTAATCACATTTGTTTAAACCTGATACTTTGTCACCAAGGATACACTATGTTGAGATACAAATTCACCAAATGTTATACCTCCAAACATGTAAGGGAATTTATGGTAGTGATAAAAGCCCTGCAAAAGTGAATCCCCTTGTGCAGTGTGTCCCTCTATCCCCTGCCTAACCTCCCATTAGGCACTGATCAGGTGGGCTGTCCCTCACAGGTGGAGGGGGGTGTGGCCTGGGGAACAAAGAGAGAGGGAAATGTTTGGGAGGGATGTTTGTTTGATGGAGTCTGGTGAGGAGAAACAGAGCAGGAATATGGTACCCTGGCAGGTTTTTTAAGGGTTACCAATATACTGAAGGAGCAATGAGACCGGTGGAGTCTGAGGATCATACAACCCAGTCTCTCAGCATTTCGTGTTATAGCCACGACATTTAATTTATTTATTCGTGTTCACCAACACGATTTTAAAAGCAATGTATTTCTATTGGTAGTGTGCTTCGTGCCTGCAACACGTATTTTTGTCCGGTCGGGTCTTGCTGTGTGGTTCATAAAAAACATGTTCTTACTCAATATCAAGCCATGATTATTGTTTTTATTTTAAATTGTATAATGTCGGACTTTCTTTGCCGTCCGCGAGGAAAATAAATGGGGCTCAGAGCCTCAGAATACTGAAATCTGTATTTTTTAAAATCTTTTTTTCCTTCTAATTTGTTATTCTTTTCTAAATAACACACTGTTATTTACTCGCCAATAACACACAATTATCCTTGTTTTTATTTATTTGTTTAATTCTATAATCTCTGGCTTTTTTGGCATCCGTCAGGAACTGAATTTCAAAATAAAATAACCGGAAACAGATATACACCTACACACCCACTGAACTGATTACCCAAGATCCTCAGCTATGGTTTAAGCTCGGTGATTGGATTGTTTAGCCGCAATGCACGTTGGGATATGGTGTTAATGCGATATGAAATCCGAAAAACTTTTTTTTTTTAAAGAAGAAAATAATACTTCCGAGTGTGCTTGCTTTTCTCTTTGGAAGTCATCACATAACGGCATTGTAATACACAGTTCGACTGCATTAAATATTACACATCTGCCGTAGTTTTCTATTTATAGAGCCCTGATTAGAAGACTTCTGAGCGAAATACTGTAAAATTATGTGAAAACATGAATACAACTACATATCTTCAAATTGTATACATACTGTACATAAGTGTCCTACACTAATAATCAGGGGTGCACATAACTTTTTTGCCCTGGTTCTCAAAGGAGCACCTGGAGATGTTGCTTGGTGCTCATCCTTAAAATGAAATAAACCGTAACTTTTGAGGGGGTCTTGACTTTATTTGCCAGACACACGGCACTGAACACACATGCAGAGGTGAACACAGAACACACGTGCAGAGGTGAACACAGAACACACATGCAGAGGTGAACACAGAACACACGTGCAGAGGTGAACACAGAACACACATGCAGAGGTGAACACAAGACAACATTAGCACGACCAGTAATCCTACAAGCTGTCATCACTACCCTCCTGACTGTTCTCCTCACTGTCTTCCTCTCTGTCAGACATGGTAGCTGATGATGTAGGCCTACTACTTCCTCTCTGGTTGAGTCTGCGATTAGCTGCTTGCATCCACAAGTCAACAGCTGGTTTTGGGTCGAAAGTCTCTGTCATCTTAGACAAGTGGATGTAATCAAATAAGTATGTGAACATAACCAATAACCTACCATAGCCAATAACAAATGAATGTAACTTATTGTATTTGTGTTGTTCATTCATATCTTATTTTACCTTAACATTTATTTATTTATGCATTTTCTTTTTTTTATCTCTCCAGTTTTAAAGGATATTTTTGGTTTACTGTCCTATATGCATTGGAATGATTTCAAACCTGTTTATCCCAATAATTATAAAGGAGTGCCTTGGAAATATGTGTTTACATAAATTGTGACCAAACTGTTTGAGTCCTTTACCTCACTGAGCTGTAGTATCAGCCTCTCAGTCTGACTGGAGAGAACTCTCCCTCCACATTATTGTAGAAACATCTTCTTCTTATTATATCCGTTAGAGCAGCTAGCACCAGATTCTAATAACAACACCGGGCGATGCGCCCTTCTCTCTCTCCCTCGCTCACTCGCATTTTGGCTGTGAGCTGCGGGCGCCAGATAAGCCAACATCCCCCATTTTCATCACTTACAGCGCCCATCGTACAGGGCAAATGAAACGTGTAACCGGGGTGAAAAGGGTGTTACATTTACTTAATTATGAATATTGTTACATCAAGGCCGAAAATTAGGATGAGCCCCAACGGTCAAAAATGTGTTTTTCCCTCCCAGAACTGCCAGCGCAGCGCCTCCCCAGATCTGGCGCCCTAGGCGAACATCTATAACGCCAGTGCTACGGGCCAACCCTGAGTTCATATGCAACTCGCAAATATCTTTCTCTCTCTCTCCTCTCTTCTCTCTTTTCTCTTCTCCCTTCTCTCTCTTCTCTCTCCCTCTCTCAATTTTGGTAAGCAAATGCGCCTTTTTTCAAATGACGCGGTGCTCTTTTTTTGGCGCGCACCTCCGCACCAGTTATGTGCAGCCTTGCTAATAATACAAAGTTATTATGGCATTGTATGTTGTGTGTACCTTGTGTGTACCGCCTAGTGGTTAAAGCACATTATTTAATTATTTTTTTAATATGTTATATTTGATGAAAATAATATTAAGAGTACATACACAATAGAGGGAAAGTAGAAGGTCAATGATAGAAATATAGAATATAAAAACATCAAGAAAATACTGTAAGTGATCAAAATAAAACAGTTTAGTGCTGGATGTGCAAAGATATTAATATGAGGATGTGCAAAACAGAAAAAACAAATTAATCTTTATTCAAACATTAAAGAATACTTTAGTTTAAGGTCTTCTTTTAAATAAGAAAAAAGCTTTGGGGGTATCTACATATAAATATTAAGCCTGACAAAGTACTCAACGTCTAATATATTGCTTTCCTGCAATGTTACCTATGTTGAAGCACTTATTTTAACCAAGCGGCAAACTCTGGGGAACAGCCGGGACGCCAATACGGAAGTGCCACACACTGCAGTTCATACATGGGCCGCTAGGGACTGGCTGCCGAAAGGAGCAATTTCCATAGACCCCCATGTTAAAATGCCCAACTTTACAGCAGAAAAAAAACATGTTTCTACTAGGGCTGCACGATTTTGGGAAAAAAAATCGAACTGCGATTTTTCTGACAAATATTGCGATTGCGATTCGAATTGCGATATTTGTTTTTAAGCGACCCAACGGAAGTTTATTGTAAAATACGGCCATAACTCCGGCTAGGAAGGTCGTATCAACGTGCTCCCGTCTCTAGCACCCCCGCAGCCCGAGCTACGAGTGAAAGAACTAAAGTTACATGAAACTTCCGTTGGGTTGCTTTAAAGTCAAGCTTCAGTTTAAGATTCACCCTGTAATAGAAACATGTGATGGAGCATTACTAACCTGACCCAGATGGTTTGTTTCACCAAACCATCTAGGAAAGCTCCATTGGAAGCCATTTGGAAAGGGCTGGCACTTTCAAAAGCACTTGGCAGGTGATTGGATCAATCTGTCTATCACCTTCTATCATGGGCTACTTCTGATTGATTAACAATGGCTGGTACATGTGGAGCACAGCACTTCTGATTGGTGTGGATGACTGACACACAATAAAAAAAAATATATATATATATATATATATATATATTGTAAAAAATAAATAAATAAATAAAAACAAATCGCAGGCTTTGCGATTTGATAATCGCATCATTTAAAATCGCAATTTCGATTTAAAATCGATTAATCGTTCAGCCCTAGTTTCTATGAAGGTAGATATGGGGCAAAATGCGAGAGCGTGAAATACCTGATGTGAGCACTTGCAGAAAAAAAATCTGAGTTTGTGTGCATACATTTACACTTGTATAAAATATCCACGTAACTGTGAACCAAATGTACACTTGTATAAAATATCCACGTAACTGTGAACCAAATTTACACTTGTAAAAAATATCCACGTAACTGTGAACCAAATGTGAAGTCACAGAAGAAAAAAAAAAGTTTTGTAGCTTGTATAAAAAAAATGAACTTAGTTATGGAATGTTCACTTGCAGAAAGATACATATTTTTTAAATATATTTTTCCATTACAACTGCAACTTTATTTATTACAACCTCTCAAATCAGTCATTACAACTTGACGAATCTGCTCTGTGGCAGTATAAATCGACGAATCTGCAGTCTTGACTTTTGCTACACTTCTTGCGATAGATGTGTCGCAAAAGTAATTTTCACCTGTAGATGTGGGGGGTTGGAGCGAAGGGGCGGAGCTATCAGAAGGACGAGGCTTGGGTGACTGTCTGGAGACTGCGGGGCTAACGGTTCGTGTCGCTACCAGTCCGCTGACAAGGCGCATCAATCAACGGTACATTTTGCCCATTACTTGCCCAGTATTACTTTGAATATTATTATTGTGATTGAGGATTAAATCCGCTTTGAAGACCACCGTTTTACAGGGCTCTCAAGTTTTGAACAGAGTTCAGAGTGAGATTTTGGCAGTGGCGGGGCTTTGGGTGGGGACGGGGTCTTATCTGATAAATGACACATAAATTCATACAAATAAAAACATATTTATTTCATTCTGTGGGGTGTGTGTGTGTGTGTGTGTGTGTGTGTGTGTGTGTGTGTTTTTTGTTGTAGGTGTTATAGGCAGTTTTTGAGGCCTTCAGCACTGGGGTTGGTGGCTCCCATCTGAAACAGTTTGGTTCCAGGCCTGCCATCTTCACTGTCATGATGGAGGACAGTGTTCCATCTAGGGCCAAGCTGTTCCTAGTTTTTGTCTTGTTCAGTCCAACCATCGAGAAAACCCTCTCCGCGTCGGCATTAGAGTGAGGGAGCACTAGAACAAGTTGAGCTATTTTAGTGAGCCTCCCAAACTGGCTCAAACCGGTCACCTTCAAAAAAAGGAACCAAGAGACTCTATTACTCAAATGCTTTGCTTTTGATTTCAATTGATTATGTGTACTGTATGTCATGTGGTGCCACATATTTCTTACCTTGCACTTGATTGAGGACATACTCCCCCAAAACTCCTCAACATTAAAGGTGGTGGGATCTTGGGGCATGGGGATATCCATCAGCTGATATTCCAGGAACTGCTCACACACCTTGTCCTGTTCCTCCAGCCCATGGAAAGGTAGTAGTTCCTGAAATCTAAAAAGAGCACCATGTGTAAAGAACTGATTAATGTATTCAATCAAAGTATTGAAATCCTGGAAAATGTGGAAACTCTTACCTGTCTATAAAGTATAGGGCATCTTCCACCCCACACTCAGTCCTCTGCTGCACATCCACAAATCTTGTATGCCTCAGAAGAGCCTCCTTCAGAGGGAGTTTATTGATGCCATACTCCACAGCCTGTGTGCTGCCTGTTGGAATAGCTGCACCTCCTGAGGTGTGATGTCTCCAGCCTCAAGGAGCCTATTGAGCCATTTAGATTTGCTCCTACCAGACAGAGAACAGAAAGAGATAGAGAAGCAAATTAAGTCCAGGTAGTTTCAACAATATGCATCAGGTAGAGATATAAACTATACTCACACTCACGCCAGGGATGGAAATGAACACCAACCATCAGCCAAATGCTGGTAAAACATAACAGTGGCTGGTAGATTTTAAATACATACAAATGTACCATTGGTTTACTACTGAATGGCTGGTAGATTTTCCCCAGTGGCTGGTAAATGTTCATGTGTTGTGTAAATATTCAAATGTTTTGAAAAAAAATTAATTTCCAGCCCTGGCGCGCGCACACACCGGGAAAATAGGAGACATAGGGACAGTCCAACAAGGGAGCAAATAGCCTTGGTGCTTACTACAATAACAATAACAATAACGATAATAATAAATAACAATAATAATCATTATAATAAGTTAGTGTAGGCGCAAAATTCCGAAGAAAACAAGCGTCAGAATAGCTGCTGAAATTAGCTAGCAGGGATTCAACCGGCTAGCTAGGCTAGTTCATGCATACTCTAGTCTAGTCAGTCAAACTGTTAGCTAAAACCTCCCTGGACATATATTCCATAACAACGGAAATCAATGATGAGATGACTTACTGTACTGAAAATATGGTCTTCTCCCACGTCGAGCAGTCTGTAGCCACGCAAAATGTCAGTGAGTGACTATGTGACAGCCGTCCTCTTTGGTTACTCTTCAGCAAGCGTCTCAATCATTGGAATGGAATCAGAATGGAATGTTGTAGCGAAATGTCTAAATCCTACCCAGATACAGCCATGTTATTTTCTAATTGGCTGTTCGACAGCTTACATTCTTTTGATTGGTTGATGCGTGGCTACAGTGATTATGTACTACTAGGCTTGTTTGAGACAAGCAAGACCTGCGCAGACCTGCGCAGTTGCGATCAACGTCTTGCTAGTGCGTTGCATGATGGTTAGTCATTTTGTCCGACTTGCTCTGGAGGCCCGCCCACATGAGACTTTGAAATTTCGCGGGACAAAGACGCCCGCAGCCTTGAGAGCGAGGCGAGGCGAGTTGGCGCAGTTGCTCTCCACGGGCTGCAGAAGCGAAATGCTTGATGGGAAACGACTCGCTGGTATCTCGAGCTGAGCGCTCATTGGTGGTTTTTACCACGTGCTGGTGATGAAACTCTCCAATTGGCTGGCAAAATGTTGTTGTTGTTTTGTGTCAGTTTTACGTCGCCATTTCCATTCACATTTTTCATCATTGTTCCACAATATTTATCATCATGAAATGAATATCTATATATTTTATACTATACTTGCACTGCTTACCGTTTTCATACTTTATATATCTTAGCATATTCATACACACTGTTCATACTGCTCTCAGGCTGCTGTGTATATCTAGTGTATTCATAGCCCTCACTGTTTATTCATCATTCAATTCATTCTATATGTTATTCTGTAGATTGTGTACATTACTTTTCACTTTACTGCTTGTTGCACCTGGTTAGAAGCTAAACTGCATTTCGTTGTCTCAGTACCTGTAATATGTGCAATAACAATAAAGTTGAATCTAATCTGGAGCAGGAAAAAATGTATTTACTTAGTACATATCTGACATTAACGATTAAACACATGTGTGCATTCTTTATAAATGCAAACCGAGTCAAGCCGACTCCGGAGGTGGCGGTATGCACCTTAAAGTTGTTTGCAATCCGCCAAAAAACCGAGAGAAGAAGAAGAAGACGAAGCCGACTCCGAGCATGGACTCCGAGCTGTCCGACTTCAGGCGAGCTTTTTGAGACCTCCCCCGGCTGCGATCGGCTATTCTCGTCTACTTTCGAGGCGAGCCGCAACGCGTCTCAAACAAGCCTAGTTTGTTTACAAAATTGCGGCGCAACTTGGTGGGCGGTACCCTGGAAAGAAATCTCTGCGTGAGAAATACAAGGTGTGGCGTGTGAGCGTGTGAATGGAGTGAAATGCGTGTGTCTCACGCCGCGTGAGACTTGAGAGGTCTGGTTTTATATCGTGCAGTTTAGCGGCAAAATAACGTCAGTCAGCCAGCTAACGCTAGCTTTGTTGAGTTTATGCTAGCTAAACAAGACTTCACTGTCAGCTAACAGCAACTTGTCCACTCTGCTAGGCAGTGTTGCCAACTTGGCGATTTTCTCGTTAAATTTGGCGGCTTTCCAAACCCTCCGGCTACTTATTTGTGTCAAAAGCGACTAACGACTAATCTAATGATTTATAATGCTGTTATTAGGGACTCACATTGTTCTGCAGTTAACGAGTTAACGGTGCTGCCGTGAGCCCCGCCTCCCTCCCATAGTACTCACAGGCGCTCAGACTGACAGTTGCCTGTCCGCAGCAGAGCTGCTGCTGCAGTCAGAGCAGAGAGGAGACAACCACACTCCCCCGCGTCGAGACAGCAAATGAATTGCGCATGCGCCAACTGCCAAGCCGTCCTGGTTTTGAGCGGGATTTAAATGTAAAATGTAAATGTTTCTTCACTCACTTTCACACTATAATAAATAACTGCATTTGCTTTACTTTGACTCACACAGCCTCAGTCACTCAATCACCTCGTCCACTGTGTGTGTGCCTCTCTGTGACAAGCTAAACATCTCTGTGACAAGCTAAACATCATGATGCTTTCCTGGAGAAGTCCAGAATTTGATCCTTGAAGGGTTGGGAACGTTTTTTGTACTCCCCTCTACCATGCTCTCTCCTACAGCCGCCATTACATGATATGCAAATTAGGCTACTTTCCTTACTATGGAGTTGGCAACACTGCTGCTAGGCTACAACCATAGAGGCTACAACGTTAGTTAGTCATAGTACTGCACTTGACCCTTTAGCTTTAGCCGTGTTCGTGGTGATTGTGCCTTTTAGGGAATATTGTTACAAATACCAGACAATTAAAATGTCGTGCTGTGCGCTTGAATGTACTCCAAGAAGTCTAAAATGATCATATTATACATGTTAACCCCGTTCGCAGGTGTTTGTGTGCTTGGTAGCTTAGCTTGTTACTTATTAGCCAGCTAAGGACGTAATCCTTTATGCATACATATACATTTTAGTTTATGATTCAGCCATGGGTAAGACTTTTATAGTCTATGGCTATGACGCCCAAAATGCTAAACGGGAGCAAATGTTAATAGGGGACCCAATTATCCCAGTGGTGGCCGCCGGAGCTAAATGAGCCGCAGGGGGCTAGCTCCGGGACGCCGGCTGGAGCTAGCCCCTGCGGCTCCGTTAGGTCCGGGCGGTGGAGTCCGTCGTTATAACTGGAGATCAAGGAATGCAGCGAAACGCAGACTTGGTTCGCCTGCTGTAGTATTAGCTAAATAAATTATGTTGAACAAGCTGAACATCGCCACAATTGTTCTGCTATGTATCGGTACTTATTTTCTTAACGTGTGAATGACAAGCATTAAGAATAACAAAATATAGCTACTTATCTTGCAGATTGTCTCATTTGATTATGAATGTAACGTTTATATAGGGGAACTACACTGTTAGCAGTAACTTGGTATGCATGTATTTCATGTTCGCTTAGCTTCTTAGCTTGAGCTAGCTCTGTTTACTTCCAGTTCGGAGGCAGCAGGTCCCGCCTCGGCTCCGCCTCTTTGCCCTTATTTGGAGCAGGCGGGATTAGACTCTGACGTTGCTGTCAAGCCGTTAGTGGCCGACTCCGCCTACTAAGAGCTTCTCGGCAACTCTGCAAAATCCTATGGGTGACGTCACGGACACTACTACCATTTATATATACAGTCTATGATTTTAACTGATAGTATACATATTAATTATACTCTTATGTACTGTATGTAGATAGTATAAGAAATGTGCAGAACATGACAGTTTAATGGTGGAGGTATACACACATATTGATAGATGTATTGTAATGCACTGTTGAGAGGAACCTGCGACCCAAGTTTTTAATTCATTGCATAACTACACCGTAGTTGTGTATATGGTCCAGTTCGAGTCCAGTTTTGGATAGTCTGCCGTGGTTTCGTTCCATTTCAAAGTCCTGTGTGACGCTCAGCGTAACCTTGGCGCACTGTCACTCCAATATCCAATCCCAGAGCTGGAAGATTAATCACGGGGTATCACATTAACACCATATCCCAACGTGCATTCTAAAACATTCAATCACTGAGCTTAAACCATAGCTGAGGATCTTGGGTAATCAGTTCAGTGGGTTTGTATCGCAATGATGCTCGAAATGTCCCATATACTCCCTGGCTGGAGGTTGATAACAGACAGTTGGGATTGCGGAGAAATTCTCTCTGCAGACCCATTCTCACAGCGTTTATCAACCTTTTTCTTACTCAATAAAAAAAACTCCGACATTATACAATTTAAAATCAAAACAACAATCGTGGCTTGATATTGAGTAAAAACATGTTTTTATAAACCCCACAGCTTCCGGTCTTCCAAGACCCGACCAGACAAAAAGACGTGGTGCAGGCACGCAACACACTACCAATAGAAATACATTGCTTTTAAAATCGTTCTGTGTGACATGAAAAAAAGGGGAAAACCGTGTTGGTGAACACGAATCAATAAATTAAATGTTGTGACTATAACACGAAATGCCGTGAGACTGGGTTGTATTATCAGAACCTCTCTACATCAGGTTCTTGCACCACTATAGGCATAGTTGTAATTGGGCTAAAACTTTAAGCGGATTGTTAAAAATGTTCCAATGGTTTTCAAGTAAGTTGTTTTGGCTTATTATGTTTAATTTCTTCTGTATCAGGGCTCAAGCTGTTTACATGTTTGTCTCTAATTCATCAAATTCACTGGGGTTTGATACTTAACTACAACCACTGACCCACTAACTTTGCCTGCTGTTTTGCAGCACACAATACCACTCTCCTGTAGCAGCAGGCATTACAAGCCAGGATTATATTGGGTCAAGATATTTTTGTGGTAAAGAAGATGCACAGAGCCACAGTTGCGCATATTTTTCAGAAGCGCTTCTAAGTCTGCAACTGTTTGCTTTTAATATAGGTGTGTATGATTTTTAACAGATCTGTTGTGTAAAGGACAAAGATAAATGAAAATGAAACGTGTGAAAATGTAGTTTAGTATGTAGTCTATTATTACCCATTTTCCCCCTTGCATAGTCGTGCAACATGCGCAAGACTATTTTGTTATTCTGTAATTCATTTTTTTGACGGAAGTTCCTAGTATACAGTATGAGAATCATGCAACAAAATGAGATATTCAATCCCATCTGTACTCCTGAATATAAATCTATTCCAGTCTCATCTTCTCTGTTCTTGTTTACCTCTCTTTGTCTTGGTCACGTTTCATTTTGAGGTAAAAGCAGGTAGGGACATTGAAAAGAAAAAACATTTCTGCCGACACTGCAGCAGAAATCAATAGAGCTCAGCATGTGACTCTTGAGATTAATTTGGTGAAGACTTTCTTATGAAAGGTAAATGAGAAACAAACAAGAGCAGCCATGCATGGTCCTTGATAAATAGTTTTGCTTAAAATACTCCAGCGACCTGAAGCTAGTATTAAACCATTAATAATGTAAATGAAAAACTATTGTAATGCTGAGCTTGTTTTCTGCCCATTGTTTAATATGGTGCCTTTGTTGTATGTGTGAGAGTCTATTTATACAAATTAGTAACTGATATATGGTCCTGGAAATTACATAGGAGCAATACTGCTTGTGGTTTAGCGATGAAATTAGTTGGAGGAGGGATGGTAGTGATGGTTCAGCCTGCAGCGACTCAGGGGGGGGTAAACAGTACAGTTAAGCCTC